GGGGGAGAGAGAGAGAGAGAGAGAGAGAGAGAGAGAGAATGCTAATGAAGCAGTGGTGTTTTAGCATGTTTAGCATGTAACATATACATACATACATTTGCGTGAGCACATCTACTTTCTTATTATTTGTTACTTGATTTTTATAATACCTCAGCAAATGTAAACTCCTCATGCAAATTTCTTTCAGTTTCGGCGAGATAGATGTAAATGAAACTATCAGTTATTGTAATGGTACTCACCTCGATGTATTGTGCGCGTGCGTTATGTCGGCTGTGAGTAATGTAGAACACATTTCCATTTACCTTTTTTTTTTCTTTGGTAAGTGTTTTACGGCGCTCGCAAATTATGCATAAGGTCATATGAGCGAGCGGGAACATCAAACATTTTCAGTTGGTAGAAAATTTTGAATTTTGCTCGGGTGGCGGCCGAAGCCTACTCTTATCGATTTTAGACAACCAAGGGATCTTTAACATGCGCAACTTCCACTCGGGACCTCCGAGATTTTTCGCCCTTGTCAGAGAAGGCAAGGTGCAGATTCTTCCTACCAGAAGATCAGGGGTGTGGCTGAAAGATAGCAGTAAGAAGGAACCAAGGAGTAGCAGAAGAAAGACTGCAGAAAGAGCCAGGAGCCCAGTGATGGGGGTCAAAGGAGGTGAGGGGGCGGGGGAAGAGAGTGGAGACGAAAGCAGACGACAGGATATTGCAAGAGAGAAGGAGAGAAGGAGAAAGGAGACAATTTTAGCGAAGAAAATTTTTCCGTCGCTACCCGGATTCGAACCCGGGACCTTTAAATGAGAGGCGAACACCTTAACCTCTTGGCCACGAAAGCCCCCACATTAGATCTACGTGTCACGACGCGGTGGAATCAGGCGCTCGTCAAATTTTTGGGCATGTGCAGTTATTGGTGTCATCTTATATCTTATCAATTTGTCTTGCCTTCAATTAGAACCCCCCCCCACACACATTTTATCTCGAGTAGAAGTCGAGATATTCTCTACTGAAGGAGATGGGGGTCGCCTTGTTTGAGAGAAAATGGCCGCCAAGATTTGGATATTTCCATAACTTGAGAGTCCGTGTTTACAACAAAAAACTTACACATTTTTTGTGTCTTTAATCAATTTTTTTCAGTAAAATCTACGCAAAAATGTGTTTTTGAATGGACATAAGAGATGTTGAGCAAAAAAAAAAAAAAAAAAGAAAAAAAAAAAAAGAAAAAAAAAATTCAATAAAGATAGCCAACCTGGCGGGAAGATGCCAGTTTCTTCAATGTCATTATTTTGACGAGCGCTTGATTTTACCATGATGCCTCACATTTACTTCATGTGCAGACAACTTTTGGGAAGCTTCTACTTACTTACTTACTTACTTACTTACTTACTTACTTACTTACTTACTTACTTACTTACTTACTTACTTACTTGCTTACTTACTTATTTACTTATTTACTTACTTACTTACTTACTTACTTACTTACTTACTTACTTACTTACTTACTTACTTACTTTTTCCTTCCGCTTGTACCGGTGGGTGTCGCGGGGAGACACAGGCGTCTGTCTGCAGCAAGGCGAGTGACCTGTAGGAGCTGCTTCTATGGGCCCTTTAAAAAAACGTCTTTTCAATAACCCCTGTTTTGATTGGCTGAGACGGAAACATCTCTTCCTTGATGACATGTAATAACTCTATTGATTGGCTGGGATAAAAGATGTGTGTGATTGTGTGTGTGTGTGGGTGCACATGTCGGTCGATACGCATTTCTTGTTTGAAAGATGAAATGGGACCAGGAATTTTGCCCCCCCCCCACTTTCCTCCCACCACCCCCACCCCTAAATCCTCCCTCACCCCGCCCATTTCCCTTCTGTGAAGGAACAGTTTGGCTAGCCCCCATTAAATCAAACGAATCAAATCGTCAGGGTACACTAGGTATGAAGGGAAGATAAGATAAAATAAGATAATCTTTATTGTCTAGATCCTGGCACATTGGTTTGGTTTGGTGCACGTGCACACACACACACACACACACACACACACACACACACACACACACACACACACACACACACACCACACACACACACACACACACACACACACACACACCACACACACACACACACACACACACACACACACACCACACACACACACACACACACACACACCACACACACACACACACACACACACACCACACACACACACACACACAAACACACACACACACAAACACACACAGATGCACACACACAGGCTTACAGTCACATGCATAATATAAATGAGCAGCAAAAAAACAAAAATAATCTTAAGCAAGATACATACTCAACGGTATTCTGATGCATGCTCTAAGGTCATATGAATACTTATAGCAATATGATTAAGATGGAAGAAGTTTAATGGATGATGGTAAAATGACCTTCTGTATCTTTCTTTGCTACAAATAAGAAGCCTAGGTCTTTTACTTCTGACTGATGTTTTTATTTGAGGGAACAAAGGATGTTTGTTGTCTAAAAAGATGGAATTAATTTTTTTAGTGCAAGCTGTTATGTACAATTCACCCAAGTAGGGGAATGTAGATGTTGAAATTTGTCATGCTTTCCGTATTAATCGTTTTAATTTTTCTTCACCTTGTTGTGTTGTGTTCCCGGCCCATGGTGTTATACAAAAATTGATTTTGCTTTTCACACTGTATGTTCCATCTCGTCAATTACGGTCATCCACAGAGGCAACAAATCCCAGAGCTCCTAAAATGAAATTCTGATCTTTTGGTGAGAAAAGTTTCTCATTTTTTTGGCCCTAAAATCTGGAATACCCCGCCCCAGGATCTCAGAGAAATAACACATTTTGATATGTTTAAAAGCGATTGCTCATAACTCATTTGTTCCATTCTTAGTTATAGTGTATCAGTATGTCAGTTTGTACTAATATGTTTGGTTTTTTACTGCTGCCCTTTGGTGTAGATAGTTGACTAGGTGGGTACCTCTTCGATGAACGGACTCAAAAGAATCGATCATCAAGTCATTATGGAAACAGTGCCCACTCCTTGTGAACGGAAACCTCACTAGTTTACAATGGCGTCTTAGAAGACGGACTTTCCCAAGATTAGATCTAAAAGAAAATAATGATAAACTGAAAATTAAACTTCATTGACTTCAGACTCCATAATATAACCGCACCATCGAAATGATTCTGAACCACCATTTTTTTTCCAATATCGAACGTTAAGTGGTTCGGAAGCTTTAGGCGACCAAATTGACGAATTTTTACAAGTATAATTTATAGATGTACTGTTGTGAAAGTTCATCATTATATGGCTGAACTGGTTGTTCTTGGTTTTATGAAATATTTTCTATGTAAGAATGATTATTTGATTGATGTAAAGCGCTCAGAGCTTATACTAGTATGGCATAGAGCGCTGCATAAATGCATACAATTATTATTATCATTATTATCATGCGTGCAGACGTCTTAAAAGCGCAGCTAGAGCAGAGCGTCCAACTCCTAACCTCCTTTACTTTTACTTTTATCCGCAGCTTATACCCTTTTGAGTGTCGCGGGAAGAAAGAGACGTCTCTCTGTCACCAGCCGAAGAGCTTGGGTCAGGGGGATGCCGTGAGTTGTTCGTGTTTCCCTGGCTCCATCTATCCAGGTCTTTCTCAGTTGCCCTCTATAACCTTGTTGCTATCGAATTTTTTAAATTATGAAGGCACGTTGTGCTGGGTGGTGTGTTGGTAATCGCCTGAGATGCCCGAACCATTTGTAAGGCATGCTAACAAAATGAGTGACTTCTCGCAATCCACAAATAGAGATATTGGCCAAATATTGACTTTAGGGTCAAACTTGTAGATTTTCAATTGATGCCATGTTCTTTAACTATAATCTGTCTTTTATTATTTCATACTTATAAAATGTAAAAACTATACCAATAAGCGTGATATATCTATTTCCGTAAGGCTTGAACCTGAGAAGTCACCCCCTTTGTCAGCACACTTCACTCTTGATTCTTTGGTGTTGGTTGTGATGCGTGACATCATTTGTGCCCACTATTTCTTTGATTACTGTGTTTCTAATTTTGTCTCGCCTGGTCTCGTTTACTGCTTTTCTAAGACGTCGCATTTCACATGTTGTAATTCTATGCTCTAATGTCTTGTTCGTGGTCCATGTTGAGCATTGATAGGTGAGTTTTGGGATGAACCTCCAACTTATTGCGAGCTAGCCACTACCCTAGAATTACAAAGTTCTATCTGCTCAGTGCCAAGTTGTGAACAATTTAACGTTAACATATTTTTAGCTTCACAACATGTCAAGCTTTTTTAAATTCAATTCTTTGGATATCTTGATAGCGACCCCGAAAAATATTACGATTTTGATAGAGAGGATAGAAAAATTTGGTTTCTGACTTCATGTTCTTATAAGCAACTCAAAACGGTGACAAATGTCAGAGAGAACTTAGTAATTCTAAGGTAGAAATGTGGCAAGCTCACCATTATGACTCTATTACTCTTGTGAAGTGCGCGGACAAATAATGAGCTACTGCTCGGATTTTAGCCCTGTGGGCATAGTTATGTCAAGTTTATAGGTGTTGAGTTTTTACGATTGGTATGAAATGATAACAGAGATGTTAAACTTTTTTAAAAAATGGCATCTTTAGAAAGTCTACCAATTTGACCCCTGTGTCAATCTTCTTTTAGTTTTAAGAAAGAGTTTTACGGCACTTGCAACACAATAAGGTCATACAAGTGACGAAGATTAGAGGTGTTACAAGAGAGTAACAAACACACAAAAGGGAGGAGAGATAAGGACGATAGATGTTTGACAGGAAAGAGGGAGCAAACCACACAGGGAGCACCCGCTAACCACCCACTGTGTCGATCTTCGGCCGACATCTCATTTTAATTTGTGGATTACGAACGAGGTATTCATTTCATCAGCTAACTGTGCCAGATGACCTTGAGAATGCCGCCTTCTCCCACCCTCGGCCTACCCGCATGGTCGAGCCAGTTTACGCGCCACTGAGCAAGAATGGCAAAATATACGGCCGAACCTGCTCTAACGGCCACCTGTATAAGACAATCACCTGTACAAATGACCGCATCCCATTATTTATTTATTTGTTTTTAGTTTTAGTAGAGGTTTTACGGCGCTCGCAACTGCATAAGGTCATATGAGCGCCAGAAGATTAGAGGTGTTACAAGAAAATAACAAACACAAAAAAGAAAGGGAGATAAGGACCACATATGTTTCATAGGGAAAGAAGAAGCAAACCACACCAGAGCACCCGCCAACCATCCACATTTATTTATTCATTTGTTCTTTTGTTCCTTTGTTCATTTATTTTACATTATCCTGACACTGTGTAAGATTTCCACCTGTTCAAAACACCTGTTTTTCCTCTGGACAACAGATGGCTGCCTTAGAAAATTGTGGCTGTCCCTTGAACGGGCCGCCTCCACCACGACAGTTTTGTTTGGGATGTGGTCCTGTCATGTGATTCTACAGATCCTCCTACGTCACCACAGAGGGAAGACATTGAGTGTGACATGTCTGTGGAAAAGGAGAGAGGAAAGATAATGAGTCTGTGACGTATTAAAGATGAGAAGGAAGACGTTGTGAGTGACGTGTCTGTGGAAGAGGAGAGAGGAAAGGTATTGAGTGTGGAGAGGAGAGAGGAAAGATAATAATGAGTCTGTAACGTATTAAAGAGGAGAGGGAAGACATTGTGTGTGACATGTCTGTGGAAGAGGTGATCTCGAGAGGAACGATAATGAGTCTGTAATGTGTTGAAGAGGAGAGAGGAGAGGTATTTTAGCGCCTATAAATGGCTGCTTACACTGTATGCTTCCCAGGAAGTTGAGTTTGTTTCAGAATGCTCTCAGGTCTGCTGGGCTGGGGTAATAGTATAGATTGTGAAGCGCATAGAGCTTGCTGTTGAGCGGGGATATGCGCTATACAAATGCTATCTATTATTATTATTATTATTATTATTATTATTATTATTATTATTTAGTATGGCGTATTGAAGAGGAGAGAGGAGAGGCATTGAGTGTGACGTGTTTGTGGAAGAGGAAAGAAGAAAGATAATGAGCCTGTACTTTGTGCGTAGGTGAGCGGTAAGAACATTATCGTCTCTGTTATTAAATGTGAGAAAAGTGGGCTGTGGCTATGAAAAGGTGGGCAGACGATCATCTCTACAATCGTGATAGAGAGTACGCGTAACAGAGTGGAGTAAAAAGTATCTGCATTGTCATTGGTCACAATAGGAATTACAAAGTATATTTAGAGCGCTTTTAGACATCGCGCTACGCCAGAATAACTTGCTAATAATTGGAACTTTTATGTTTTGGGGTTTTGGTGGGTTTTTGTTTTTGTTTTTGTTTTTGTTTTTTTGTTTTTGTTTTTGTTTTTGGTCTCGTGTCCCTTTTACGGGTGTCATGTCAGTGATCCCATTCGTATCAAACCACAGTATCTATCCGGAGACGTCTCCGACAGAGACAGACCAATCAAATTGCTTTGTGCCTCTAGACCAAGTATAAACAAAATGGGGGGTTACAGGGGGGCATCCCCCTCTCACTGTTTTTTCCCATAATTTGATATTTTGCAGTTACGTTTGAAATTTTCTTGAAAGGAACTGATTTGCGACAGTTTTAGTGGCTACATGTGTGATCTGCAGCAAACAATACGCAGTGCATCTGTGTGCGGGAGGAGTACGTCTCCGAATGGTTAGTGGGTGCTCGCCGGAGACGTCTCCGAATATCTTCTGTCTATCAAGCAATCGTTGACTAAGAACTAAATGTGAGGCAGCGTGGTGGAATCAGGCTCTCGTCTATATGTGAGGCAGCGTGGTGGAATCATGCTCTCGTCTATATGTGAGGCAGCGTGGTGGAATCATGCTCTCGTCTATATGTGAGGCAGCGTGGTGGAATCAGGCTCTCGTCAAAATAATCAAACAAAGTGAAGAAACTTCCATTTTTCCGGCTGTTTTGTGAATTTTTATGAAATTTTTTTTTTGGCTTAACACATTTCATGCCCATTAAAGAACTCATTTCTGTGAGGATTTTTGTGAAAAACGTTGATTAAAGGTACAAAAGATGTAAATTTTCAGTTACCATGGACTCTTAAGCTAAGGAAATGACTAATCTTTGGCGGCCATTTTCTTACTAATTTTACCTCTAAAAATAGGTGACCCCCGCCTCCTTCTTCGCAAATATCCCGACTTGTATTCAAGATGGATATTTTTAAAATTCAAATAAAGACAAATGAACAAGCTTTAAGATGATACCAATAACTCTTCATGCCCAAAAATTGACGAGAGCCTAATTCCACCACGTTGCTCACAAATGTGAGTGAGTCGGCACACTGATATGTCAACATTTTGTGAGTGAGTCGGCACACTGATATGTCAACATCTACATGGATCTATACGTATAGGAGAATATCAATAACAAGGGTTATGTCTTTTAATTTGTTACTCTTTGACTACTTAATTTATTAGTGGTTTTATTCTTTCTTAACCTTTGTCGCTTATTCTAGCCCCCCCCCCCATCCCCCAGGCTGTCCCTGAGAGGGGGGGGGGGGGGGGTGACACATACCTCTTTCCCACTCTCCTCGTTCTGAGAGACCAGGTTTTGGAACTGTTTTGTGTCACCGACCTTAGCAATTCATAAAAGTTCGCCCCCCCCCTTTCACAAATTAATAAAAGTCTGTCTGTCTGTCTGTCTGTCTGTCTGTCTGTCTGTCTGTCTGTCTGTCTGTCTGTCTGTCTGTCTGTCTGTCTGTCTGTCTATCTATCTATCTGTCTGTCTATCTGTCTGTCTGTCTGTCTGTCTGTCTGTCTGTCTGTATTTCTGTCTGTCTGTCTATCTATCTATCTATCTATCTATCTATCTATCTATCTATCTATCTATCTATCTATCTATCTATGACTTCGGCTGTTGGTCTTTCAGCCTATTTGTCTTTTTTCTGTTTGTCTGTCAGTTAACCTGAATGTCGATTTCGTTTCTTGTCTCCCCCCCCCCCCCCTCTCTCTCTCTCTCTCTCTCTCTCTCTCTCTCTCTCTCTCTCTCTCTCTCTCTCTCTCTCTCTCTCTCCCCCCCCCTCTCTCTCTCCCCCCCCCCTCTCTCTCTCTCCCACTCTCTCCGATAACGATAATGATATTAATGTGTACAAACATTGGACTCAAATTCCTCAAAAAGAAGTGTAACTGAGACAGACACTTGTCATTCTTGGCCATGAATTGAACTCGGCGTTAAAGAGTTTACAAGGCGATGAATGCGCGCAACGGTTATGCAAAGCGATAACATGCACAGTAATGTAATGTTCTCCGTGTATGGTAGATAGTTCGAATGTCGAGTTTTTGCTCTGTGCCAGCTGTTTCCTTTCTGCGCTGTTTTTTTTTTTTGTTGGTTTGTTTGTTTTGTTTTGTTTGTTTGTTTTTTTAAAAGTGTTTTTCGGCGCTCGCAACTGTACAAGGTCATATGAGCACGCGGGACACATTAAACATTTTCAGTTGATAGGTAATTTTGAATTTTGCTCTGGTGGTGGCCGAAGCCTACTCTTATCGATTTTAGACCACCAAGGGATCTTTAACGTGCGCAACTTGCAAACGGGCCCTC